TTGCTCCTTTTGCAGCGGGTGCAGGGCATATGAAAATGCCTGTATTCATGTTGTATAACATTTTAGGCGGATGGATTTGGATTGCGCTGTTACTTGGTGCGGGTTATGGCGCGGGTAATTTATTATCTTTACTGCTCGATTCATTTTAATCAGATTCAAACCGTCGTAAACTGCCCCGATGAATAAGCCGAATGCTGATCCTCAACATTCGGCTTATTGATATTGAGAATAAAATAAAAACGCGAGTGGTTTTATTTAATAAATTAGCTGTATTTATTAAAATAATCTGCTGCTATTTTTACGCACTGACACAAAAAAATATCCAGAAAGTGCAAACAGAAAAAGCTTTCAAATCGCCAAAGTGCTAACATTTTGCAAGTTTTAAAATCTTAATGCTGGTGAGCAAAAATGTTAATACAANTCTTAATGCTGGTGAGCAAAAATGTTAATACAACGTGGTGGGTTAAAAGTTGTGGCTGGGCTTGGAATTTCAGGCGTTTCAGCCGTAAATTTTCTTCATGAAAATGGCTACCGTGTTGCAGTCACAGATTCTCGTGAAGTTCCACCAGGACATGAGCAAATTCCAGCAGCAGTTCAAACCAGCTTTGGTCAACTCGATCAAGATTTACTTTTGCAAGCTGAAGAAATTGTCATTAGCCCGGGGTTAGATCCTCAGTTGCCAGCAATTCAAGCTGCGATTGCAAAAGGCATTCCCGTCATCAGTGAAATTCAAATTCTTCGTCGCGCTACAGATAAACCGATTGTGGCGATTACTGGCTCAAATGCAAAAAGTACCGTGACCACTTTGATTGGTTTAATGGCACAAGATGCAGGGGTTAAGGTTGCGGTAGGGGGCAACTTGGGTCGTCCTGCTTTAGATTTAACCCATGATGATCCAGATGTTTATATCCTTGAACTTTCAAGCTTTCAATTGGAAGCAACCTCGAGTTTAAATGCCGAAGTGGCTGTGGTCTTGAACATGAGTGAAGACCACTTGGACCGTCATGGGGATATGGCAGGTTACCATGCGGCAAAACATCGTATTTTCCAAGGTGTGAAAAAAGTCGTATATAACCGTGACGATTCATTGACGCGTCCATTGGTACCAGATGTCACACCGATGCAAAGCTTTGGGCTTAATGCACCTGATTTAAAACAATACGGTATTCTAAGAGAAGATAACGGTACGATTTGGTTAGCGCGAGGTCGTGAACGTCTACTCAAAAGTTCAGAGATGTATATTCAAGGGACACATAATGTTGCCAATGCTTTGGCATGTTTAGCTTTGGGTGAAGCGATTGGTTTACCAATGGATAAAATGCTTGAAACCTTAAAAAACTTTAAAGGTTTAGAGCACCGTTGCGAATTCGTTAAAGAAGTGAATGGCGTTCGTTATTATAATGATTCTAAAGGCACCAATATCGGTGCGACTTTGGCGGCATTGGACGGTTTAGGTGCTGCAATTGAAGCCCAAGGTGGTCAGGTTGCTATTATTTTAGGTGGTCAGGGCAAAGGGCAGGACTTTACTGCACTACGTGAGTCTCTGCAAAAATATGCCAAAGTTGCGGTACTGATGGGTGAAGATCGTTCAATCATTGAAAATGCCATTACAGGGACAACAACGCTGCTACATGCAGCATCTTTGCAACAAGCTGTAGAACTTTGTCAACAACATACGCATGCGCAAGATGTAGTGCTATTATCACCTGCATGTGCAAGCTTTGATATGTTTACAGGCTATCCTGAGCGTGGTCATCGCTTTGTTGAATATGTAAATGCTCTAAACTAAAAAGAATCATAAGGAAATAAAGTATGGCTGGGTTAGCTCAGACGACTATAAGTAAGATTCACCAAGTGTATGATCGCTGGATGCCAAAATTGCCGGCAGAGATTACACCGCGTAATGTACTGATATTTTGCGTCATTTCATTGTTGTGTATTGGTACGGTGATGGTGGCTTCGGCTTCAATGCCTTATGCCGAACGGATGCATGAAAACGAATTTCACTATGTGATTCGTCATGCAATTTCGATCGTGGTGGCTTTTGTTGCGGCGGCAATTACCTATCGAGTTTCACTCAACCTTTGGTTTAAAAATACCTTTCCATTGTGGTTGATCACCATTGCTTTATTACTCGCCGTCTTGGTGGTGGGTACAGAAGTCAATGGTTCAACACGCTGGATTCGTGTAGGTGGATTTACCTTGCAGGCAACCGAAGTCGCCAAGGTGATGATGGCCATATTTACCGCAGACTATGTGGTTCGTCGTGCTGAAGAGGTCCGTAATAATATTAAGGGCTTGGTACGTCTAGGTGTGGTGATGTTGCTGACGGTCGGACTAATTATTGCAGAGCCTGACTTAGGGGCAACAGTGGTGATTGCTGTTTCGATGCTGGGTGTGTTCTTCTTGGCTGGTGCACCCATGATCCAGTTCGGCTTTGCATTTGGTGCGATTCTGGTGGCATTTGTATCCTTAATCGTGTTTGAACCATATCGTTATGAACGCTTAATGTCATTCTCAAACCCTTGGGCTGATCCTTTGGGCTCTGGTTATCAATTGTCGAATGCCTTGATGGCCTTTGGTCGTGGTGAATCCAAACCCCACCCGAATCCTGTATCATAAGTTTTTTACAGAATAGACGGACTTCGTGTGTGACTGAAATACAACCGTTAAAACCCACTTCTTAAGCCAAAGAAACCATAAAGCTGGCAAAACGACGACTCATTTGTGATGTTGATTTGCTGTATTCGTATTGGTCAGCGTGCGCTCAATCATCAATATTTGCGCGCAGGTTACTTGGCTTACGGAATCAGTATTATTTTCTTATTACAGATCTTGGTGAATGCGGGTATGAATATGGGCATGTTACCGACCAAGGGGCTAACGCTTCCATTTATTAGTTATGGTGGTTCATCTTTAATTATGTGTGCGGTGATGATCAGTTTAATTCTCAAAATTGATGCAACCACCAAGGATGCCAATCCAGCGCGAGAAGAGTCTAGTTTTTAATTTTTTATTGAACTTAAATAGACTAGCCATTTGATCACAAATGGCTTTTTTTTTGGTAATTTAGTTTGGATTTTGCGTATTGCAATATTTTAATGCCGATTGGGTGGTCTTAAATTTTACCCAATCCCAAGTTTGATAACCGGACTCACTCAGTCCTAATACATCTATCGCTGTTGGGGAATAATAAAACGAAGTTTCCAATACATCATTGGCATAAATCTTGATCTGATGTTTTCCAGAGGTATTTGCAAGTTTAAGTTTGATTGGGGTTTTGTGATCGACCTTGATGATTGCAGAGCGATCGACTTGAACTGAATAAGTTGGTAATGGTTTACCCCATTGTTCACGTGGTGCGCCACTCATTTCATCAACAACAGCAGTTTTAGAAATCGGGGAAATACATAAAATTGCCATTTGTGCATAGACCTGTGTAAGGCCTGTGATCATGAGAAAACTCAGCGTTATTAGATTTTTTAAAAGGTTCATCTCAATCCTGAATGATGTTGGTATTCTTATGTTGGTATTGTTGCTTAATCAGGGATTACTGATAAATGGATTGTAGCGTTGTCCCTTGAGGAATGCGAGAGATATCCCATTGAGCGACAGCTTGAGCCAACATGAGATCTGGCTGATCTAGGTCTACTGGAGCTTGTCCAAGTGCTATAATCGCTTGTAACAGCAATTCAGGTGCATGTTTGAGATCAAGCGCTTGCGCAAGGTTTTGTTTAGAGAGTTTTTGCCCCAAATGATTCATGGCGAGGGGTAAGTGCATATATTCAAGAGCGGGATAACCCAAAAGCTGTCCTAGCCAAATTTGACGTTCAGTATTATCCAATAAATCCGCACCACGCACGACATGGCTGATTGCCCCAAATGATTCATGGCGAGGGGTAAGTGCATATATTCAAGAGCGGGATAACCCAAAAGCTGTCCTAGCCAAATTTGACGTTCAGTATTATCCAATAAATCCGCACCACGCACGACATGGCTGATTTCTTGTAAATAATCATCGACAACGACTGCCAGTTGATAATTGATAATGCCATCACGACGCTTTAGTACAAAGTCACCCAAATCGCGTTGTAAGTTCGCGCAATGTTGTCCTTGCAAGCGGTCATTGAAACAAATGTTTTGATCAGAAACTTTTACACGAATGGCTTGGTCTTGAAAGTCGAGCTGTTTGTCTCGGCAGGTGCCAGCATAGATATGATTTGAGCCTAATATTTTACGGGTACATTCACAGGCATAAACGAAATGTTTTTGTTTGAGTTGTTCGATTACAGATTGATAAATGTCTAAGCGATGTTGTTGATAAATGATTTCAGCATCGGATTGGAAGCCAAAAGCATCTAGGCACTTTAAAATATGCTGTTCACTATCTGGGTAAATACGTGGAATATCCGTATCTTCGATGCGGACGATCCATTGCCCATGATGCGCTTTAGCGTCGCAATAACTCGCGACAGCGGTCACTAAGGAGCCAAAATGTAATGGCCCTGTGGGGGAGGGTGCAAACCGACCTTTGTAGGCAGTACTCTTCCTCCCTCCCTTTGGAAAAGAGAGGGTTGGGGAGGAATTTGACACAGTATTAACCGTTATTTTGCTTCTCTTTGATCTCTGCAAGGGTTTTACAGTCGATACATAAAGTTGCAGTTGGTCGTGCTTCTAAACGGCGTAAACCAATTTCGATACCGCAAGTTTCACAGAAACCATAGTCATCATTTTTAATCGCTTCAATAGATTGCTCTATTTTACGAATAAGTTTACGTTCACGGTCACGGGTACGTAATTCAATGGCAAACTCTTCTTCTTGCGTCGCACGGTCATTTACATCAGGTAAAGAAGAAGATTCATCTTGCATTGTATTTAGGGTGCGATCCACTTCCGACATCAATTCTGCTTTCCATGCCAGCAAAATTTTACGAAAATGTTCGAGTTGCCCCTCAGACATGTATTCTTCATTTTTCTTTGGCTGATAAGGCTCGATACCGAATAGACTTGCTGTAGTACCGTTTTCATTGGTCTTCGGCTTGGTTTTACGCACTCGCTTTACAGACTTATCATCTGCAATTGCTGTTTGTTCTTCCAAGACTTGATTTTGGTTGTCATTCGCCATAAAGGGCATTCCTCATCATATACGTATTATCTATACGCAAAAAATATGGTGATATGCAAGTATTTTTATCACTACCAACAGAATGAATCTATCGGGGGCGTCATCATATAGATTTTTTTACCAAGATGAAAGTCACCTAACCCTGAATTCGACTTTCTGCATATCTCGTTGGACGAATAACTTAATAGAAAAAAACCAAAATGAAAAGCTAGTAACCTGAAATTTCTTCATTAATTGTAACTTTGAAGTGGTCCAAGCGGTGTACAGAGGTCTCAAATTCACCATTGGCTTTTAAATGTAAGCAACGGTAACCAGGCGCAATCGGATCAAATGAAAACTCTTGGCTGAGTGGTTTAAATTGTACACACGTCGCTGGAGTAGAAATAAACTGTATTCCATTCCATACATTATAGGATTCTTGATGAACATGACCATGTAACACGGCTTTGATGTTATCAAAGGGTTCGAGTACGGCTTTTAATTCATCGGCATTTTTGAGCTTATGTTGATCGAGCCATTTGGAATGCATATCAAAAGGATTGTGATGACAGGCGATAAGAATAAACTTGTCACGCAATTGTTCCAATAGCCGTTTTAGATGGGCTAATTGTTCCGTTTGAATGTTTCCATCAGTACGTCCACCCACAGCGCTATTCAGCAAAATGATACGCCATTGATCTAACTCAATCACTGCTGGAATAGGTTCTGGCGAATGGAACGGGAACAAGTTGAGATTGTCATGATTTCCCGGAATTTGATAAAAATCGACACCAAAACGCTGCATATATTCTAAATAGCGCGCATAAGTTTCTGGAAATGCAGCTTGAGCCAAATCACCAGTATGTAAAATCAGATCGATATTTTTATAGCGTTGCTGAATATCATCCATGACGGCATGAAAGCTTTCTTCAGGATTAATCCCGACAAACTCTGCATCAGGTTTATCCATCAGGTGTGTATCTGTGATTTGGATAATCACTCTATCTTTATCTGTTTGCGGCAATATCTCTGATTGCATGCCTTTCCCCTAGACATCTTCAAATGCATGCAAGTGCTGTTGTAGCCATTGCAAAGCCATAATCACAGGTGCATTTTTTAAACGATTACTTTTTAATAATAGACTCAAATCTGAATAATCAATGATATGAAGTTGGATATTTTCACCTTCATCTGGCATACCAAACACTCCGCCTTCAGCAGGTAATGCGGATTGTGCTACATAGAGATGAAAGATTTCATCACATGCACCAGCAGATGGATAGAAGCTAAACAGGTGTTTGATTTGGTTTAATTCACATCCAGATTCTTCGATGCTTTCCCGTCGAATGCAACTTTCTGGAGATTCATCTCCATCAAGTACGCCTGCAATGATTTCGAGTTGCCAAGGTGAAATTTCATCATCAATTGCCCCTACACGAAACTGTTCAATCAATGCAAATTTTTGTTGTTGATCATTATAAATCAGTACACCAGCAGCTTCTTTACGGCGAATTAATTCACGTTGAATGGCTGAGGTATATTCAGTTTGATTAAATAATCGGTGTCGCAAGCTCACTTTTTCGACTTGAACAAAACCTTTAAAGGCATATTCACGAGATTGTATTTCTACATCATTATGGGTGTAGGTTGCTTGCTGAATGATGTTCATGTGCACAGTTAGGATGAAACATATTCACTTCATCCTAACTGAGAAATAGTGAAAGACAAAAGTTTTTTTTAATCTTTACACTTTATGGTACAACTTTTGCCCTTGTTCCTGATAAACGGATTTCATGGTTTTGAGACCATCTTCTATAAGCGTTTCGCTATTTACAGGGTGGGCTGCATTTTGTTGATTTTGTGCATAATCTCGCACGTTTTGGGTGATTTTCATCGAACAGAACTTAGGTCCGCACATTGAACAGAAGTGTGCTGACTTATGTGCTTCTTTAGGCATGGTTTCATCATGCATTGATCTTGCAGTATCAGGATCTAAGCTGAGATTGAATTGATCTTCCCAACGGAACTCAAAGCGTGCTTTAGATAAAGCATTGTCACGAACTTGTGCGCCCGGATGACCTTTGGCTAAATCCGCCGCATGGGCTGCGATTTTATAGGTGATAATCCCGTCTTTAACATCTTTCTTATTGGGCAGACCCAAATGCTCTTTAGGGGTCACATAACACAACATTGCAGTGCCGTACCAACCAATCATCGCTGCACCAATCGCAGAGGTAATATGGTCATAGCCCGGAGCAATATCGGTGGTGAGGGGGCCAAGAGTATAGAAAGGAGCTTCCTGACAAACTTCAAGTTGCAAGTCCATATTTTCTTTAACCATATGCATTGGAACATGGCCTGGTCCTTCGATCATGACCTGAACATCATGTTTCCATGCCCGATGGGTCAGTTCACCCAAAGTGCGTAATTCGGAAAATTGTGCTTCATCATTGGCATCCTGAATACAGCCCGGACGTAAACCATCTCTGGTCCTTCGATCATGACCTGAACATCATGTTTCCATGCACGATGAGTCAGTTCACCCAAAGTGCGTAATTCGGAAAATTGTGCTTCATCATTGGCATCCTGAATACAGCCCGGACGTAAACCATCACCTAAGCTGAAAGATACATCATAGGCTTTCATGATTTCGCAGATTTCATCAAAATGCGTATAGAGGAAGTTTTCTTCATGATGCGCCAAACACCATTGCGCCATGATCGAACCACCGCGTGATACGATCCCCGTTAACCGATTGGCTGTCATCGGCACATAACGTAATAAGACCCCAGCGTGAATGGTGAAATAATCGACACCTTGCTCCGCTTGTTCAATCAGGGTGTCTTTAAAGATTTCCCATGTCAGGTCTTCAGCAACACCATCGACTTTTTCAAGTGCTTGATAAATTGGTACCGTACCAATTGGAACTGGTGAGTTGCGGATAATCCATTCACGGGTTTCATGGATATTTTTACCTGTCGATAAGTCCATGATGGTGTCAGCACCCCAACGGGTTGCCCAAGTCATTTTCGATACTTCTTCATCAATCGATGAACCCAAAGCTGAGTTGCCAATATTGGCATTGATTTTTACCAAGAAATTACGCCCAATGATCATGGGTTCGCATTCAGGATGGTTAATATTGGCTGGAATAATGGCACGACCTTCAGCGACTTCTTTACGCACAAATTCAGGGGTAATTTCCATGAGGTTGTGTGCACCAAAATTTTGTCCTGCATGCTGGCGCATATCGACACCTTCATGCTGGCGCTGATTTTCACGAATCGCAATGTATTCCATTTCAGGCGTGATGATGCCTTGTTTGGCATAATGCATTTGTGTGACATTGTTGCCTGTTTTTGCACGACGTGGTTTTTGAATATGGGCAAAACGGATTTCAGCAGTACGAATATCTTTCAGACGTTCTTGGCCAAATTTAGAGGTTAAGCTGGCTAAATGCTCAGTATCGGCACGTTCTTCAATCCAAGTTTCACGGACATTGGGTAAGCCTTTATTCAAATCAATGTGTACATTTGGATCGGTATAAACACCTGAAGTATCATAGACCATAATTGGTGGATTTTTTTCACCACCAAGGCCTGTCGGAGTATCCGTGAGTTCAATTTCACGCATCGGTACTTGAATATCTGGGCGTGAACCTTGAATATAAACTTTTTTAGATGCGGGTAAAATTCGAGTCAGATCTTTGGCTTCTTGCTCGTGTTGAGCCAATTGATCAGCAGGGGATAGATTCGTTAATTGGTTCATTACAATGATCCTTATGAATGACATCAACGAATCAAGCACGACCAAAAACGGTGGCAAGTTTAGTCTATTTTATCTGCTAAATTCATCATCAGAATAAAGCGCTATTGCGACAAAAATAGATAAACTATGGGCTGTCAGTTTTTAGATGCTTGATTCCTACGCAGGTCTTAACCTGATCAGGTTCAACGGTACTTTAGTTTAAGTTTTGGCAAGGAGATGCAAAACTGACTAAATCTCAGCGAGGAATTACTCGCGCTCCGTCAAGCGATATTCAAATCTTAGCATGTTCTCATTGAAAATATGCTGGCATGCCGATATCAATTTCAATTATTTTTTTGAGCCAGAATTTCCTCGACAGATTTTCTAATTTTTTGTTCAAATGCTTCACGTTGTACCCGGATCTCTTGCTGTTCAGGTGAGTTATCTTCAGGATACTGGCTAGATGGTTTTGGCATTTGCTGCCAAAGCGTTTCACTTGCGTTGATTAAATTTACAAATTTCTGTGCAGCTGGGCGACTTGCAGTTTTACTTTTTGCAATTTTTTCAATCGCTTTGATTGCTTGTTCATCTGCAATTTTATCGTCATCGAACCAGAGCGTGCGGGTGTTATCCTCGCCTTGAAAAAGTGCACTACGGTATTGTTCAATGTTCTCTATGACTTGAGGTTTAAAATGGTTGTTGGGGTAATCTTTATTGAACTTTTCCCAATATAACAATCGATTGGCCACCTCATCAAAACTAATTGCTAGCCCTGCGTCCATAATATAGTTGGCACCTGTATACTCTTTACGGATCTGTTTAAAGTAAACCTGATCTGATTTTTCTAAATAGGGTGCAAAAATATCCAGATCATATTGTGGATGCTGTACAAAGGTGTATTCACCTTCACCGATATAAAATTTTGCTAAATATAATTCCTTTGCGTGATCAACTAAATATTTCTCACGTGGTTTTAACTTTTTATACAGTTCTTGTTTTTGTTGAGCTGTCATAGACTGACCGTCTGCAAGTGTATCGGTCATATATTGAAAGACTTCAGGCGAGGCATCGGTGATGAGTTTTTGATAAATGTTTTCAATTTTTGCTTGCCATTGATAGCGTGTTTTTAACGGTGCAGATGCGAGGCATTTTTTTAGTAATTGATTGAGGTCATTTAAATCTTCCACGATGACCGTTTTTTCTAATTTTTTGATACTTGTATCTATCTCGTTACAGTCTGGTGGAAGTGCTGATATTTCAGCTGTACTGGTCTGAGTCGCTTCAGAAACTGCTTTGGCTGTTTCAATTGTTTGATTATTCTCGTGTTTTTGGCAAGCGCTGAATAGGGTGCACAGGCAGAGTGTTGTGAGTGATAGATGTTGTTTTAAAGCTTTCATAGTATGACTGTTGTTGTATATTTTTGAATGCCACAAGGATAATAAAAATTGAGCTAAAATAACATCTAACTGTTAGAACAAATTGCATCACTAAAGCAATCTTTTTTAACATGCTTAAAATCGATTGGGCTTAAATTTAGATATTGATTGAGCTGGGACAGCGCCAATAATTGAGGGATATTTTCCAGTTTAGTGCGTTCTTTTTCACTAATTTGAATTTTTTGCTGTCTTTGCTCTTTGCTCATCGTTAAAAAATGAACAAACTTCTTGGCCTGTGCTGAAAGCTCACCATCATTGGACTTTGCTAAGCGTTCAATCACCAACCAGCTGGCTGCATCAATATCAGTTTGATTTTCAAATGTAATCGAAATAGGCGCTTCTTCAGTGCCTAAAAACAATAGGCTGCTATAGGCATTTTTTAAGAACTGTGCATCATGTAAAAAAGGGCTAGTGGGATAAGTTTGTAGATATTCTTGCCAAAACTTAGCTCTTTTTGCAATTTCTTCAGCATCAATATCGGGTTTATGGTTTTTAAAAAGTGGTTGGGTATTTTGTTCTGCAAGATTTTCGATAAAAACTTGTTCAGGTGCAGTCAGATACGGCGCGAAAACTTTGGCTAAATATTGCGGGCTTCTTCGATAGACAATTTTATCATCTGTTTGTTCGCTCAGCTCAATATAAGCTTGGCCTTTGTGACGTAATAAATATTGGTCACGTAGATTAAGTTGTTCAAATTTACTCTGTTGAATAGTGGGATATGCAGCTTGATCTAAAGCATAGTTTTCAAATGCTTGCTGTTGTTCTGAAGTGCGCTCAATCTGTAAAAATTGTTGATACATACGTTTCGACTGATGCATCAATTCCATTTGTTCCGCAGGTTTCATCAAAGGTAAACACATACGAATATCTTGATTGACTTGTTCTATCGCAAGCGTGGTTCTTTTTGCGTTGATTGCCAGCATCTCATTTTTGAGATTTTGGCAAATTTGGGTTAAATCAGGAATAGGATTTTCTTTTTGTGGCGCCTCTTTAGATTCTTTGACAATGTCGGTTGTGGGTTTTTGACACGCGATAACCACCATGCAACTCAAGATAACGAGTATGCCTGAAATGAGAAAATGAAGGATATTGCGAGGAAATTTCATTCGACCAGCATTTAAAAGAAGCTCAGTTTTGTTCGATGCCATTGTCGCTGAATCGAGGCTAAATAAATGAAATATTTTGTAGTTTTGTGATAATGAAACGTTACTTTTTGCAAGAAACTGAGTCATGTGTCTGGTTTAAGATCTGTAAAAATTAATCTGAGTACAGCATCGTGGATTTGCGATAAATGGATGCTTACAGAAAAGTGACATATGTAAATTCAGCAAATTGTAGTAGTATCTTTACTCTAAATTGCTTTGATCAGAAGTGAAATGAGCGATATTGAGAAATTCATTTGAAAGAAAAATACTTGTCATAAAACATTCATAATGAATATGCTTTAATATTAACCCATAAAAATAGTTTTTGTTGCGTGTGGAGCATCTGACCTTGAGCCCAAGTAATCCTGTATTAAACCATCATATATCTTCTCAATTTAATGAGGACTTACAGGATGTGAATACCAAATTTATGACCATGGGTGGTTTGGTAGAACAACAAGTCGCAAATGCAGTGCATGCGTTATTGGATACCAATGCCAATATGGCCATTGATGTTCAATTTCAAGACAATACAGTTAATCGTTATGAACGAGAAATTGATGAAGCACTGACTTTGATTTTGGCGCGTCGTCATCCAGCTGCAATTGACTTACGTATGGTGATTGCCATGAGTAAAGCCAATACCGATTTAGAACGTATTGGTGATGAAGCTGCAAAAATTGCCCGTATTGCACAGACTTTATGTGAAGAGGGCGAGTCTCCGCGTGGCTATATGGAAACACGGCACATTGGCAATCAAGTGCGTGTCATGATTCATGATGCTTTAGATGCTTTTGCGCGTGTGGATGCAGAACAGGCATTAAAAGTTTTGTTGGCCGATGCAGATATTGACCGTGAATATCAATCTGCGACGCGCACACTGATGACCTATATGATTGAAGATCCACGTCATATTAGTCGTGTCATCAATGTGATGTGGGTATTGCGTTCACTAGAGCGAATTGGTGACCATGCCCGTAATATCTCAGAACAAGTCATTTATATGGCAAAAGGTTTTGATGCGCGACATACCAGTGTTGAAGAGATTGAACAAAAAGTTCAAGGTAAATAATTGAATTTATAAGTAAAAAGACCTGAATGATTCAGGTCTTTTTATTTGAAAAATTTAAGATCACAAAAAGAAAATTACACTTGAGCAAGTGCTTGTTCTAAGTCTGCAATCAAGTCATCAATATGTTCAATCCCCACAGATAAACGCACCATATCAATACTCACGCCTGCTGCTTTTAGCTCTGTTTCATTCAGTTGACGATGCGTGGTAGTTGCTGGGTGACAGGCTAAACTTTTTGCATCACCAATATTCACCAGACGCGTAAACAGCTGTAATGCATCGATAAAACGGGTGCCACCTTCACGACCATCTTCAACACCAAAAGACAGAATTGCAGACGGTTTACCTTTGACATACTTTTGTGCCAAAGCATGTTGTGGATGATCTTTTAAACCTGCGTAGTTGACCCATTTTACTTTTGGATGTGCCTGTAAATATTCAGCAACTTTTTGTGCATTTTCAGTATGGCGTTCCATACGCAAATTCAGTGTTTCTAAGCCTTGTAAAATTAAGAATACGCTGAGCGGGCTGATCGCTGCGCCTGTATTTCTTAATGGAACAACACGTGCACGGGCGATATATGCCGCAGCACCTAAAGCTTCTACATAGTTCACCCCGTGATAACTTGGATCGGGGGTATTTAAGACTTTGAAGCGCTCGGGATATTTGCCCCAAGGGAATTTACCACTATCGACAATCGCACCACCAATTGAATTACCATGACCACCAATATATTTGGTCAATGAATGCACCACGATATCTGCACCATGTTCAAAAGGTTTCAGTAGGGCAGGTGTTGCAACGGTATTATCCACAATCACGGGTACACCATATTCGTGTGCGATTTTAGCAATGGCATCTAGGTCAATAATATTACCCAGCGGATTGCCAATCGACTCAACGAAAACCAATTTGGTTTTTTCATCAATCAAGCCGCGCAATGCTTCAGGATCTTGGTAATCAAAGAAACGCACTTCAATGCCTTGTTTGGGCAAAGTGTGGGCAAATAAATTATATGTTCCACCATAAAGTGTTGAAACCGATGCAATATTGTCACCCGCTTCTGCAATGGTCTGGATAGAATAGGTGATCGCAGACATACCCGAAGCCAATGCTAAAGCACCAATACCGCCTTCAAGCGCACTCAGACGTTGCTCAAGCACAGCGGTCGTTGGGTTCATGATCCGTGTATAAATATTACCCTGAACTTTGAGGTCAAATAAATCCGCACCATGTTGGGTATTATCAAAGGCATAAGAGGTAGTCTGATAAATTGGAACGGCTACCGCTTTAGTGGTTGCTTCTGGTTCATAGCCTGCATGTATGGCAAGAGTTTCGTCTTTATATGTCATGTTCTTCCGTCAACTTTTTATTAAATTTCAATAGAGTGTAACAAATAAATATATGAAGTAAACAAGGGTTTATATATTTTAAAATCATAAAAACAGATAAAGCCAACAATGCAGCCCGAGATAAATTGAGTTTCGACGAGGAAAAACAGACCGAATATCGCTGAGTTTGTGAGCTGTCATTGTGGTGTCATTTGCTGAAATTAGCATAACAAATTCTATAAATTCAGTTATTAAAAACACAATGAAAAAAGCAGCAATAAATAAACTGACCCGCCATAAAAGCACTTTAACTTTAGTCCTCTGTAGTTTACTGGGTTTGACCGCATGTTCTGATGATGATCAAGATTCAACAACACAGAAGACCTTAACCCAAAATATAACATTGGCATTTGGTGATGAAGCCTGTGTAATGGGGGGAACACGTATTCAGAGCGGTTTAGATCGCAATGGCAATGGCAAACTTGAAGCCAGTGAAATCACTAAAACAGAAAACAGTTGTAAGCCCAATTTGTTTGCGCAAGGTGTAGCATTACCATTTAACGTACTGGGACGTTACCCTGCGAATGGTACGACCATTGATAGCACATTTGATATTCGTCAGGGTGGTTTTGGTTCTGATGTTGCTGCACATCCAAGCAATAAAAAGCAATTCTATGCATTGACCGATCGGGGGCCAAATGCAGACTTTACTGATAAATTATATGGTGCTGGTAAGGTTTTCGCCATTCCAGACTATGTGCCGAAAATTGGTTTATTTGAAGTTCAAGACAATGGCACTGTGAAATTAATTAAAACCATCAATTTAAAAGATCGCGATGGAAAAGACATCACGGGATTACCCAATACTTCTGCTTTAGGCGGCACAGGGGAAACACCGTATGATGTTAATGGGAAAGTGATTACTGTAGATCCAACCAAGCCTTACGATGTGGTCAATAATCCAATTAGACTGGATGATTATGGTTTGGATAGTGAAGGGATTACTGCACTTAACGATGGTACGTTCTGGATCAGCGATGAATATGGACCGCATATTGTGCATTATGATGCCAATGGTAAAGAAATAGGGCGTATCAACCCATTTAAGGCTGATAAACGCAACAATTGGACTTTACCTAATGAGTTTAGCTATCGCCGTGCCAATCGAGGGATGGAAGGTTTAACCATTAGCCCAGACCAAAAAACTTTGGTTGGAATTATGCAATCGACCATGAGTTTGCCGAATAAAAATGTCAATAAATCAACATTGACGCGTATTGTGACGATTAATCTTGAAACGGGCAAAGTCGCACAATATTTATATCAGCAGGAGATAGCTGAAAACTCAAACTCTGCCATTATTGCCCTCAGTGCAACACAATTTCTGGTTTTAGAACGTGATGGATTGTTTTATAAAGATACGCCAAATGTGATGAAAAATGTCTATCGTATTGATTTAAGCAAAGCCACCAATTTAGAAGATATTCAAACACAAAATGATGTCAAACAAGACGAAAAGCTCGGTTTAACCATTGCGGGCAAGACCTTAGAAGAATACCAATTGGATAAAGGCTGGGACGGTTTAAAAGCATTTAATATTTTTCCAGCACCTAAAACATTGGTACTGGATATGGGGAAAGCGGTTAAATATCCACATGATAAAATGGAAGGTCTGTGGTTGATCAATAGTACGACACTTGGGATTTTAAATGATGACGATATGGGGCTTTGGAATAATGCCAAAGGTATGGAGCCAAAGTATCTGGATGCGGCGCGTACACGTATTGATATCAATACCTTGTACATCATGGATAAATTGAATTTAAAAGGCCAATAATTGCATAACAACAGCCGCCCAAGAGGCGGCTTTTTCTATCAGCATCATTTAAAAATAATAGGTTCCTCAATGAAAAAAATAGCCATTCTCACCGTCCTAACGAGTTTAATGACTGCAACTGCTTGGGCTGTACCGCAAGTGACATCACGTGAATATAAGTTGTTGTTACAGCCAGACAAATTTAGCTATGCCAATGAGTCCGCCAACGTAAATAGCTATATGCAACAAGCCAAAACGGTTATTGCCCAGCAAATTAACCGTACAGTTTCAGGAACGATGCGCTTAGACAAACAACGCCAAATACGTTTTTATGATTCACCCAGCAGCTGCCTACTCAATAATATGGGCTATAGCTTTCGAGAACGGACTGAAAACGGAGCATCTGAAGTGACGCTTAAATTTAGAAGCTATGATCATTATCTGTCTGATTTTGCAGATTTGAGTAGCTCGACTGCAGGAGCCAAAACTAAGCTTGAAGATGATATCACGCAAACAGCAACACAAGGGTTTTTGGTGGGGTCCAGTAAATCCACCACAGTGGCAAATACACGGACAATCAATAAGTTTTTAGACATCCATACGCATTTTCCAAAATTTAAAGAAACCTTTGCCATCAGTGATAATCAGCTGTTATCACCTGTAGGTGGACTCACCCTTTATGAACGAAGTTATCGTGGGGTCAGCATTGATTTAGGCGAGTTTGATGCAGAGGTAGATATGAGTTTATGGTATACCCAAGCACCTTATGCAGGATTAAAACCTGCTGTAGTTGAAGTCTCGTTTAAGTAGCAAGACCCAAATGCAAATTACACCAATAAGGTTGTACAACGTGCTGCCATTAGTTTTTCTGCTTTGAAAACATTGTCAAACTACAATGCACCAAGTTCAACTCAAACCAAGACGCAATTTGTATATCAGTATCAGCCGAATTTTTGTTCGTGATCATGTGTGAGGTCGCGATTTGATTGCATGTATTGGTGTGGAAAAATGTTTTCTTGATGCTTTTAAAATATCTCAATCAATTGGACAAATCTGAACAAAAATAGATAAATTCAGCGTATAATTAACGGTATTTATTTATTCGCATTTTGCGAATTTCTATTCATTATAGAGGAGTCCTACGTGGCCCAATATATTTACACGATGAACCGTGTGTCGAAGATGGTTCCGCCTAAGCGCGAAATCCTAAAAGACATCTCTTTATCATTTTTCCCAGGTGCAAAAATTGGTGTACTTGGTTTAAACGGTGCAGGTAAATCTACCCTACTCCGTATTATGGCTGGCGTAGATAAAGATTTCTCAGGTGAAGCTCGTGCGCAACCAGGTATTAAAATCGGTTATCTAGAGCAAGAGCCACCATTAGATCCAAATAAAGATGTTCGTGGAAACGTTGAAGATGGTTTACGTGAACCATTAGATGCATTGGCACGTTTAGACGAAGTTTTTGCTGAATATGCAGCTGAAGATGCTGACTTTGATGCACTTGCAAAAGAGCAAGAGAAATTAGAAGCAATTATCCATGCTTGGGATGCACACAACCTTAGCAACCAAATGGATCAAGCTGCAGCAGCATTGAATCTTCCAGCATGGGATTCTGACGTAAGCTTACTTTCAGGTGGTGAACGTCGTCGTGTTGCATTGTGTCGTTTGTTATTGTCTAAACCAGACATGTTATTGCTTGACGAACCGACTAACCATTTGGATGCAGAATCTGTATCTTGGTTAGAACGTTTCTTAAAAGACTTTGCTGGTACAATCGTTGCGATTACACATGACCGTTATTTCTTGGATAACGTTGCAGAGTGGATTCTTGAGCTTGACCGTGGACATGGTATTCCTTACCAAGGTAACTATTCTTCTTGGTTGGAACAAAAGAATGCACGTTTAGAGCAGGAAAATAAACAAGAAGAATCTTTTGCTAAAGCATTGAAAAAAGAATTGGAATGGGTTCGTTCAAATGCTAAAGGTCAGCAAAAGAAAAACAAAGCACGTATGGAACGCTTTGAAGAACTTAACTCACGTGAGTTCCAACAACGTAATGAAACCTCTGAAATCTATATTCCACCTGGTCCACGCCTAGGGAATAAGGTTGTAGAAGTTGAAGGCATCAGCAAATCGTTTGATGGTCGTCTACTTTATGAAAACTTATCTAGTTCCAACAACGTAATGAAACCTCTGAAATCTATATTCCACCTGGTCCACGCCTAGGGAATAAGGTTGTAGAAGTTGAAGGCATCAGCAAATCGTTTGATGGTCGTCTACTTTATGAAAACTTATCGTTCACAGTACCACCAACTGCGATTGTTGGTATCGTTGGTCCAAACGGTGCAGGTAAAACCACTTTATTCCGTATGATGACAGGCGAACAGCAACCTGATACCGGTACAGTTGTATTGGGTGAGTCTGTAAAAGTTGCTTATGTTGGTCAGATTCGTGACACTTTAGATAACAATAAAACAGTTTGGGAAGAAGTTTCTGGCGGTTTAGATATCTTAAGAATTGGCGAATACGAGATCGCATCTCGTGCCTATATCGGTCGCTTTAACTTTAAAGGTCAAGATCAGCAAAAACGTGTTGGTGAATTGTCAGGGGGTGAACGTAACCGTTTACAACTTGCGAAGATCCTTCAGATGGGTGCCAATGTGATCTTACTGGATGAGCCATCAAACGACTTGGATATTGAAACTTTACGTGCGCTAGAGGATGCAATTCTTGTATTCCCTGGCACTGTCATGGTGGTATCGCATGACCGTTGGTTCCTTGACCGTATTGCTACACATATCTTGTCGTTTGAAAATGAACAGCCAGAATTCTACGAAGGTAACTATGCTGAATATGAAGCATATCGTTTAGCGCGTTTGGGCGATGCAGCTGTGCAAAAACGTACCAAATACAAAAAAATTGGTGGTTAATCACTAATTTGGTAGATCAAAAAACCAGCTTTCGAGCTGGTTTTTTATTGTACATAAAGCCGATAAAGTTGGTGTTGTGCTTCGAGATGACCTTGATTGGCGGCAAGCAACAACCATTTGTATGCATTCTTTTTATCTGGCGATAGGCCGAGCTGGCCTTGTAGGTAAATCATGCCCAATTTATATTGGGCCGTGCTATATCCTTTAAGTGCTGAATGTAAAAAATACCAAATCGCGTTGCGTTGATATTTTTGGATTTTTTCATTTAATCGCTGATCTAAATCAAGAGGGTCACGCTGGTTGAGTGCCAGATGTTCATAACTGGTTGCGCGGTGGTAAGTATGCATTGATTCAGACATTTTAAATGCATGATAGGAACTGGAATAATGGTATTTATAGCGGATGATTTGCTTGAGTTTCCGTATTATTTTTATTAAATCCATAATGACTCACACTTATTTTTATGAAATTTTCACTATAAGATTAAAGGAAATAACCAGAATAAGTAATCCCAATAACCATGATTTTTTTTCATATAAAAGTATTGCTAAAGTGGTTCGAGATAAATCATTTATTCAATTTTTGATGGCAGTAGGCTTCTTTGAAATTTTTTTAAAACTATAAATCAATAAAAAGCCCCCTCATCCTAGCCTTCTCCCAAAAGGAGAAGGGACTTTCAATACCAATATGATTCACTCTAAATGATCGTTTTTTGATTGATGAACTAGGCCTATTGAGTTTAAGGCTTGGTACTTTGTATAAAATGAGCTATGAGGAGCTATTTAAAATCATATGGATTGTTTATCAGTTTTATCTTGGTGTTTTAATTCTCGGTATTTTAATTTTTGCTATTTGAATCAGGCTAAATCAATTGCATATATAAAAGAATGTCAAAAAAACATTCTTCTATATATGGGCGTTCACAATCAATTAAAGACGCATTTCAATCCCTTGTTTAGCAAGGTATTGTTTCGCTTCAGGAATAGAGTATTGACCAAAATGGAATATCGAGGCTGCCAATACAGCATCGGCACCACCTTTTAAAATACCATCTGCTAAATGTTGTAAATTACCCACACCACCTGACGCAATGGTTGGAATGGTGACACGATCATTGATTTGACGCATTAAGCCAATGTCATAGCCCGCTTTAGTCCCATCTGCATCCATAGAGGTAACCAATAATTCACCTGCACCGAATTCTGCCATTTTGACCGCCCATTCAATCGCATCTATGCCTGTTGGTTTACGACCACCATGGGTGAAAATTTCCCATTTATTTTCACCGGTTCTTTTCGCATCGATTGCTACAACAATACATTGTGCACCAAAGCGCTGAGACGCTTCTTGAACGAACAGTCCTAATTTATGGCGTCGTCTCAACTACGACTGAAATAGACGCGGACGTAAATTATTGTTTGCTTATAGAAGTTGAAATGCTTGTGGCGGTGGCTGACATTCACCTTGTTTGTGTGAAAGTCGGTTACGTTCAACAGTACGGTAAGTGGTATCACGGCCATTTGATGTTGCAGTAATGTCTAAAAAGGTGATTTCGTCAGCACCTTGCTCATTATAACGACGGGCAACTTCTACAGGATCTCCTGCATCACGGATATCCAGAAATTGGACACCTTTCACCACACGACCATTATCTACGTCCAGGCAAGGAATAATACGTTTAGCGAGCATAATTTTTTCCAAAAATAACAGGCGATTATGAAAGTTCGTGACTTAGGTGCTACACCTCGATAGTCGAAGCGGTTATTCTATCAAACTTATGTAAGTTTTTTCGCAGGTTTTCTATGTCGGTTTATACCACTTTGAGTTTAAAAGAAGTTCAACACTTTGCAGCACCTTATGGATTAGAGGTGGTTGAACTTAAACCAATTCAAGGCGGTGTGCAAAATACCAACTATTTTATCATTTGTGCTGATGGAACACAGTTTGATAATTGTAATAAACTTTTATACCTACGTGTTCGTCGTCCCCTCAATTAAGGACAGAATCTTGTGAACCCCGTTGTTCCAAACCGTCAAGGACAAGGCAATTTTGTATCGCCAGTCAGCTAAGTATCCTTAAAAGATAAACCTGCACAAATTGCGCCACGGATGTCAGGTAAACATCCGATGCCTTCTACAATCGCTCAAGTTGAGCAAATTGCTGTAGCACAGGCCAAAATGCATGTGGCGTTACAAGACTTCCCATTACAGCGTCAAGTGGCGCGTGATCATGCCTATTGGTATAACGTTGCTCAACAAATTAAACCGACTTTGGATGTGGCGGATAGCGCTTTGCTGAATAACCTTTTAGGTTTATATGAAGCACTGACCATGATGTATCCAAATCGACCTAAAGGTTTTATTCATTCAGATTTGTTCCGTGACAATACTTTGTTTGAAGGCGATGAGTTAAAAGGCATTCTTGATTTTTATGAAATGAATCAAGATGAATTACTTTTTGATATTGCGATTACCTTAAATGACTTTTGTACAGAATATCCAAGTGTTCGCTTGAATGAAGCCAAAGCAACGGCTTTCTTAAATGCATATACCTCGATTCGTCCCCTGACTGAAGATGAAAGAGCTTGTTTAGAGTTATATTTGGCTATGGCCGCAGGTCGCTTTTGGATGATGCGTTTACAAATCGCTCAGATGAATGCCGCTGAAGCACGCACTGGTGACGATATTTTGCAGAAAAATCCGCAAGAAATGCGTAATATGTTGATTGAAAGATTAAAGTTCGTGACTGCTTAATAGCTTTTTGTGGGAAATAAAATGCGTGATCAAGGTCGTTTAGTTGAATGGTTCGATGATAAAGGCTATGGCTTTATTCAACCAAATGATGGTGTAAAAGATCGCGTATTTTTACACATCAAAGATTTTGCACAAAAAGGGCCACGCCCAATCGTGGGCTGTGCCCTTGAATATGTGGTGCAATTAGACGGCCAAGGGCGTTATAAAGCAAAACAAGTCACATATTTAAAAGCCACACAAATGGCGAAATCGACAAGTCAACAAGCGGCTAAAGCTAAGCATTTGCATGCAGCAAAGCAGGCTAAATTACAGCCAATGCAAATTTTTTGCGCTGTTTATATTATTGCTTTGGCAATCTTGAGCATAAGTGGTTTGCTCAATGGCATGTTTATTCTTTTTGTCAGTATTATCAATGTGATGACCTATTGGTTTTATGCACAAGATAAAGAAGCTGCGCAGAGCAATCAGCGTCGTGTTCCTGAAAATACCCTGCATATTTTAGCTTTTTTAGGTGGTTGGCCTGCAGCTTGGTTAGCACAGCAACGCTTACGACATAAAACACAAAAACAACCCTTTAAAAAGATTTATTTGTGTACCATATTCTTTAATATTTTATTGATTTTATGGTTAATTTCGCCTTTGAATATGTTTAA